GATCCCACAGTCGCTCACCTCTCATCTGTCATGTCCGTCGCTGACCCAACGAATCCCAAGCAGACCTTTGGGGTGCTCTTCATCGGGTGCGCGCTCACTCGTACAAACAGCATTCGCTCCGACTCAGAGTCTCATCGGCGTCAGGTTCACCCTCTCCATGGCCGGCTATGGCTTCACCTTCTTTCGTCTGTCTAAAGCCACATATAACCATATCTACTAACGGCGCTCGTCCGCAGAGACCTATGTGTACTTTTCGGGCTACCCCGCTGATCACTGGGGGTTGAAATTATTTGTGCGTCTTCTCCAGGCTTTGGGGAACTTGGTCAAGGCTAATGACACGCCAAGGTCTCGATGATCTTGTACGAGCTCTTCATTATCCGCGGGGGGACAGTCTAATGAACCATTTAGTGCACTTGACACCGTAACCTCGGCCCTTGGTGAGGCTCCATTTTGTGCCTCCGAAGGTACTCATAATAACTCCAACAAGTGTCAAAAACGTACGCCATACCGGATACGGTCATCCACAACGCGGATGGTGACCCTACTTTAAAGTGCACACACGTACCTGGTTCTCTCCCTCCCCTACATCGACGGTCTGGTCGAACTTCAGCGGTGTGATCAATCCTTGCACTCACCATAACTGACCTCATGCGGGATCTCTAGAACATTTAATGTACGTGTTCATTCGTCTCAAGACCTCGCCACACGTTAAAATCAACACAGGCCCAATTCCTTCTGTCTGTACGCACCCGATATGTCCTCATCCACTGACAATATTCACTCATCGAATGAAGACGCTTGCCATGTTTGGAGTACAACTGTGCGTCGATCCACGGCATGTTTAAATGGACCTCGCTGACACGCTGATTTTCTGAAGGTTCTTCTCGCTTCGAATCTGGAAATGTACGTCGTTTTGACTTTTGAACACCGAGGTTTTCTCAACTATAATATCGTTTAGTGAGCCAGAATATCTGGGCTGCCGGTCTGTCGGCAAGTTTCTCCGCTCACCGCAATGAGCACCACGCTAATTCGCACCAGGCTATCATCTCCGTTGCTGCGTTCTGTACGTGAATAATCTGCTCATATTCGGACCGCGCTCACCATTACCTATATAGGCCTGAGTCTCGGTGAGTTTTGCTATTCCAACAAGCCATCGAGTTGCGCTTTTCAACCACGTTCCTAGCAATGGTCGCCTCGATGTTCAACACTCCCCTGTTTGCGCATTTGGCCTCCATTCGGGTGAGCACCGGTGTTATTCGTAGCAGCGGGGACTGAACCACGAAGGCGCTCATCGCATTCGCGCTCGCGTTCACCATGCTCGCTTCCCTTGTGGAATTCATTGCCTTGGTCCAATATTCAAAACGCTCACCGTGAGGCCCTTTCCTCCGTAAATTAGGAGCATACTAATGCGAAACCGTAGCGAGCGCACACTTTTTGATGAGATTTATCTATATCTGTTCCCCCGTGGCCTCGTCGGGACCGCAATTTGGTTTGGGTGTCTGCTACTGGTGTGGATTCCCGAATTTTTCACAGACGTTCCGCTGATTTACTGTGATTTATAGTTCGTAACTCGGTCACACAAGGTCTACTGGATCCCGATGTACCTTACCGCCGTCAAAGGTTGTTTTCTTTCTTCTCCGTCCCACTATCGACTGAAGCCGTGTTCCCAGTTTCCATCAATGCAATGTTGAGCATGTACTTGAATCCATGTCTGTCATCATCGCGACCTGCTGAACCGCCCTTCCATAGGCTCAATTCCCGGACATCATTCCGCGGCAAGGGCCTAAACGAAGAAGATCCATCTCAATCCACACCTACTAATCAGAATCAAAGCTTCAACACGCACCACCGGATCACGACCTTGTCCAACATGTTCAACCATGCAGCCACAGAGTCGCAGACCATCCACATCTCGCGCACGGTCGAGCACGGCCAGATGACCGACGACGCAACGTCGAAGAGGACCCGGGGATATAGCCTGGATGAGGACTCGGATCCGGTGAGCTTTGTCTTGAACATGTTGAATGAACCCATGGAACTGAGTCCGTGTGGGCGAGCAGAGGGCGCCATTCGGATCCGTCGGCACTGTAAGGCACGCCTGCGATGATGTATATTTCGAACCGCTCACCGTTACATGCAGAAACCTGGAAGTCCAGCGAAAGTTTGACGCCGGTTTCTGACGCAGACTGAATTTCAGACCCGGTTCAACCACTTCCCTATCTATGTTCTTGTAATATATTATTTTCGTCGTCCTGATAGAGCACCCCGATCCATCGCGTTCACAGGAGCGCTTGCTCCCCGTCTTTCGACCTGCCTTCCTCTGCGCCGACAGCTGCCGACGTCGGAGTTACATTCGGATCATCGGTACATGGTTCCGGTTGAAGTTGAACCACTACTTTCACAACCGAGCGAGTGCGCTCGCGTCCGCCTGAGGGCGTCGCAGATTCTCTCTTCGATGGCGGGTGGCCCTACATCGTGGTACAGCGCTTTCTCTGGACAGTTCGGTTCAACCTTGAACTTCGAGCCGACATGCATAACTACTGTACTGCTACTTGCAGCAGTAAACTAGTTCCTGAGAACCTCGACCACGATTGCTTGCGAGGCGGCGACCGTCAACGTCACCGCCCCATTCACAACATTAGCCGTCGTTGGTGCCGGCCCAAGGTTGGACACCGTCCCGTCGTTCTCCGCGCTGAAATGCTTCCCTCCAAAGTTGATAGCCTTACCGGACGCGGCACCCGCGGTGGACGTCAACCTCGATACCCTTACCCTCTTAACGTCGGCGCCCAGCGCCTTGAGCGAGATGCTCCTCTGCGCCCGGGGGCCACCGTTCCAAAGCTGCAGATTCAACACCGCAATCTTGGTCAACTTCTCGTTGTTGTACCCCGCGTACCCAACAATGTCGGGATGGTCGTCCATGGGGAGCTGCCGAATCTTGAAATCCCCCGCAGAGCCGATGAACTTGGCGCCGGCGACGAGCCCGTAGTAGTTGCCCGCGACGGCTTTGGGGTGGCCCGCGCCCCCGTCGATAGGCTGCCACGCCGCGATGCGGAAACCCGTCCCCAGCTGCATCGACACGCGCGTGATGCCCATCGTCATCCCGTACAGCAAAAAGTCGAGCGTCCAGAGCGCGCCGCCGAGCGTACCGTCGAGCTGCGGGTTGGCGGTACCGTTCCCACCGATGGCACTGCCGACCTCGCCGAGGACGAACGCGACGTTGTGTGCGGCGGTGAAGTCGACGTTGGCGCGGAAGTGGCCTTCCATTTTGGAGACGGTGGTGCTGTGCGTGAGGAGTTCGGCTGGGGATTCCGATTTCAGTTCGTGTCTGAGCTTTGATTTGACGAAAGGACGAAATGCTCACCTTTCAGAGGGCCGCTGGCGTCTGCTTGGTAGCTGTTGAGTTCGATTATATTAATTTATCTCTTCGCAGGAAGCAATGTACTGGCTCACTAGTGCTGCGACACAGTTTTGACGAACCCACCTTGATTCAGTCGAGTGAAGACTTTGGATCTGCGAAGAAAGGTCAATCGTTTCTCAACAACCTGCGATCAAACTCACAAATCCCAAAGTGAAAGATCAACGCTCGACGACAGCGCGAATGTCTGGAACCAATCCTTCCGCGCGCTCGCCTTTAGCGCGGGTACCCCGTCCTTCAAGCTCGCCGCATACCCGTTCCACCCAACAGCGTACTCCGGCGGGCCAAAGGATTTTGGGCGATCAGGCGCCCCACATCCAAAGAGCGGGTAGAAATTAGGCTCGTTGCCGATCTCTAGCGCGTCCAACTGCGCGAGCGCGCCGGGCATGTTGCGCACCGCGGCGGCGGCGAACTGCACCCCGTTGGACACGTCCTTGCGCGCGAGGGGGATTCCGAGCGTGTAACGCGCCAGGGAGGCGGGGAAGTGCGCGAAGGACTGTACCCAGGGCGCGCCGATGGTGATGTTGGTGTGGAGGCGGCACTTGGAGGAGTCGCCTGTGACGTCGATCGCTTTGTCCGTCAGGGCGGCGGAGAACTTGGTGTTGTCCATCGAGGTACCGCCAACACGGATGTGGATCGGGCTGTTGGTCGCGTTGGAGAGTTGCGCGAGGAGGAAGTGGGAGAACTTGTTCGGGGTGGCGCGGCCTAAGAATGAATTGGATTCATTGAGTCGGCAATGAATTGGCTGAGTGGTGAACCGTTACGAACCTAGATAGTCGGGAAAGCTCTTCATTTCGATCCCGAACCCGATGTAGCCCTGCGGGACGACGAACGCCTTGTCTGGCGTCCCTGGGAGGGTGAATTTGACGGCTGCATCCTGGGATACGACCGTCGAAATGAGCGCAATCAATGCGAAAAAGAGCGTGAATTTAGGCGGCATGCCAGTGGGAGTCGAAGGGTCGGTATATCTTAACACTACGCGAGTTGGCGCGTTTTATAACGCTGAGGGATGGGATAGCATGGGCGAAGTAAAGCTGTTGTTTCACTAAGTGGACGGCGGCAAGTGTGAGGGGGCATCGGTATCTATGGAGAGGGATATGATCTATTGGCCTCAGGTGATCGTTTCCGCGCGAACAAGGCACATTACCGTCAGGCTGAGGCGATGAGCGTGGCGTCGCACTTTGGGCTGAGTTACGACGCGTCTCATGCGCATACACGACAGGCCCTTGTTGAGCCCTTGCGATTTTCGAACCGTGGGAGGAACTTGGCGAGATCGCTGATGGTTCAGATTGACGTTGCGAACTTATTGAAATCCTCGCAGATCCTCATCCCGGAGAAGTTCAAGTTCCCGTCGTCGATGGATTGGTCGGCTCTGAAAAAGATAAACCCCACACCACCACGCGCTGGCAGGCGTAGCGTCGCCCGCCGGCCCCGTCTGTAAATTAGGCCTTGCAATAGCGGGTTAGCTGGGTGCGTCCCGACAGCCGTCCCCGGTTAGCACGAACCCCCCACATGCTATGTGCCGCGGGAGAACGCTTAGCCGGGGACCTGTCACCAGAGAGGGGATCGACTTGGGTTTATGTCGTGCCACCGAGAGGAGTCGAACCTCTGCCGGCCCGGTTCAGGATTTTACTCCCGAACGGGCGGTTTACCGCTGGACTAGGGTGGGCTTTTGTGAATGGAGGGAGCGCGTAGTTCAAAGGCGGGTTGCGATGAGATTGAGGCCTGTGCGAGTCTCTTGGGAGAACCGAACCAGGATCGACAATCAAAACAAACCCGAACTGGATGCCAATTGATTCAACACCCGCAATCTGGACGCCCCACCACTGACCCGAGCGCTTGATGCTGAGCTGTCTAGACGGTCCGCGATTGTAGGGTGTATGCACGCGCCGCCGAGCTGACGCGACTCAGTGGCCGCATTCAGACGTATCTCCGGACATCGGTAATTGGCAGATTCAGTCGGTTTTCCCTCGAGCAGTCGTCCGAGCACAGAGAATATGCAGCTCTACATCCGGAGCCCACCGCGATTGTCGAAGTTCCCCAGATCTCATTCCGGATGTCGACCACTTGGCATTCGAGGGATTGGTACTATGCTCGCATCCACCTCGTCGAACGCGCCGAGCTTCACTGGCGAGCCCCCAGAGGTCCTTGTTTTCCCCCCCGAAGACTTCGAGGATTTAGCGACTGCGCACGCTCTATCTTCTGCCGAGATATGCAGGTGCATTACTTGCGTCTCGCTAAAGACGAAGCGGACCTAGGTCGAGATTGATCCAAGGATTACGCGGCGCTGAAAACGAGCATCAAGTCGATGTATCCGGGCGCCAATAGAAGCCACGCGTACAAAATTCGAGAGCTTGACCATCTCACCCAGGCCCACCACCGGACGCAGATCGAGTCGCAGACCGACTTGATGGACTTTTACTTCGTGTTCTGGCTGGTCAAGAACACGACGCTGTCAGACCGAGAGCGCGACGAAGAGTTTTGGTGCGCCGTCTAAAAACCTGCGCGAGCGGAGGTTGGAAGTAACGGACGTCGTGGGTTAGCGAACAGTCGCGACTGTGCTGGCGCCGTGCCTCAGAATTATATCTGGAATTGACGGTCGGGAAGAGCGCGTCCGACGTGTCTGATTCGTCCATCGAGGTCTCTATCACTGAATGCACGAGCCCTGGTCAGCCGGCGGCGCGTGGCGGCGGGACGGAGGATGAAGGCGACGCGTCAAAATGGTGCAACAAAAGGGACCGCCACTAAGATGGCACCAATCACGCATTTTCAAACTCAGCATCTGCCATCAGTGATTGTCAAGTCTCCGAACACTAAGGCTCAGACTTCACTAGCTTCACTGTTGAGTCACCGGGAACGATTCTCTTCTCGGTCGAACCGGAGTCAAGTCTGATTTACGAGACTAACCTATATACTCTGAATACGTCGCCGGGGAGCATGGACTTCATCGGTTGGTGGTTGGTGGTCACTCTTCTGAGGAACGGCAGATGGACTGAACCAGGGCAAATATGACAATGGATCCGGATCCGGAGGGCGGCGCGCAAAAAACAGTACAGGTGCGGCACTGTGACAGTGCATCTTTATTCAATCTTCATCATGAGATTCGAAACAGCCTTCCGAATTTCTGATAGTTGCAGAGTTGAACTGCACTTTTTTCTCCAGGGATTATAGGTGCCTGCAATTCAAAGACAGTCGAGCATCGACAAATTGCCTGCCAACGGAGCGACAACACTGCTGTGGTCCATTGGGCGCCCCTGCCAGTGGGCCGGCGCATGCTCCCGCATCAGCTCGATAGCACATATGTACAGGCATCACAGCGGCACTGTAACCTTCGAACTGGCAGATTGGCTCCCGCTCTTCAGGGCATACATATTACAGCATACTATAAGAAGGTGAAGGGCCATGGTAGTATCGCCACAACATGACCCTCTCTGACTTTCTTTTCAGCCCGACAGCGCGAGTGTGGAACCTCCGCCTGCTCCTCCTCGAGGTAATCGCCGCATGGTTATTCATGGGCGTGGAATTTCGGTTTCACAACCTGACCCCCGACGTGGGTCAGCTGCCGGTGCTCATATTATACCCCACCTTCGGCTTCATTTTGCTGCACCATATTGCCTTGTGTGTGCAGTCTCTTATTCTCGCCTCATTTGTTTGTATCTCACGGCATGCAGCCTTGTCGAATGGCCCGTTCCCGGCTTCGCTCTCTTGGACTGGGTCTTGATTCTACTCGAAATCTGCGGTCGGTAACTTGACTGCCAAAGTCGTTGTTTCCGCTGACCATTCCCAAAGGGTTAGCGGCGGGCTTCGTGTTCCTCTTTCTCTTCACCGAGCTCGGCTCACACTTTGTCTCGGGCCCTCGCTTCTTTGACTTTGCTTGCATTCCTGTGGGCATTTCACTCGCCGTCACAATCGTGTTCCGCACGGCCACTATAGTCCGCTCCAAAGGTCGTTTTTTTCCGCCAACGGTTCGCGTTCTTGGGGGGATGCCACTCCGAGGCGGCCGTTCCATATACCGCGGTGGCGATCCTATTAAACCGGTCCATAGGGCGACCACTCGTCAAGTGAGCCGATGTTTTTATCTTATTTTTGCCGACTGAGCAGCTCACCGCAACCGTCCAAGGGGCGAATCTGCGATCATCATCTTTATCAGGGCCCTCGTTCTCAACGGTATCGGAGTGGGAATGCCAGTATATGCAGTATACGCCATCTTCCTCAGCCCCCTTTTTTCGCAAGTTTATACGAGGGACATAGCGGCGTTGGCAATTGCAAACTTAGGCTCGCCGGGGGGAAACGCTGCATTCGTAGTGGTAGATATTTCACCCGCTTCCCTGGATAATTATTCATGTTTGCTCAGAATTCCTTCGCCTTCGACCCGAACTCCGACTTTTATAAGACCGAATACGCTATCAACCAAATTTCAATTCAAAAGAGGCCCGAAGACTTCGAAGAGATCCCAGTGGAATCGGTCAACTGCTCAGTGACCGACATATTAGGCAGCATCGAGGATGACTTCCTTGCTGGAACGGAACGTCTCGTTGAATGTGAGTAGTACTTGTGACGCTTGATGTTGCAAGGTCTCACTCTTGTATTTAGGTCCTATCGCATGGACATCCGCCTTGAGCGTTTCGATTTCCATCGATGTCCCGTTGGGATTCGTTGTTAATGTTATGGCCCTCGACGGGCCACCAAAGCTGGAATCGGTCGAGAAGGCTGAATCCGACGCAAAATCTGTTCAACTCATCACGCCCGCCGAGCCCATCAGCATGGTCCCGGGCAGCCGTCTCTTCGGACGGTTGACCTGGATTCAACGAGAAACACTTTCGCGCTTGGTTTTGGGGCTGCCCACCGTATGTTCAAGTTTCTCGAGTGGCCACCCTTGAACCGTCTCTCCCAGGGCTTGAAACCCGTGTACATTGCGCAGATTAATGGGTTGCAAAGTTATCCGCCTGCCGCCAATTCGTCAATAGGCACTACTACTGCGACCCTGCTTCTATATCAGCCCTACACGCACGCGACAAAATTGCAGCAGGACACAACAGACACAACACCCCTCTCCGGCCTCGCCACCTTCGGCGGTTTTTGGACCTTCGTCAACGGCGCCTTTGCGCTTCTCTTTGGCGCGAATGTGGTGTATTTCGCCCTTGGTGCGTCGTTGTTTTGCTCCCCGGCTTGCTGACTGATTTTGCGTGTCCTGCAGGCCGGAGACCGCTCTCTGCGCTCGGGCTGATCCACGTGTTCCAGCGCAACACGCTCGTGAGGCGGTGGAATACGGATTTTCCTGCCTTGCGGACAGAGGGCGGCCGCCCCGGGTCGGAAGACGCCGGCATTGTCGCGTTCATACGCGAGCGCCTAGTGGATGTGGGAGCTGACCCAGACGTCGCGCACGGTGACCTTGAAGCATCTCGGGGTAATCTGGCGGTGGCTCAGGATCCAAAGGCAGGGATGGAAGACGTGGTCATGGAGGAGATGAGGAGGAAGAGTCTCGACCGGACTTCGCAGGTGGAGGCGGGTGGTCGGTCTTGGTCGGAAGAAATCCCCTTGATCAAGAAAAATGCCGAGTCTGAGGGATAACGTCTAGATACCTTGTGGAAAATGTTATACGGGCACGGCAAAATATCTACCCTGGCCAGTAATGCAGCCGGAATTTTGATCATCTCTCAAGTTGAACCGTGGGAATTCTGCCTGAGCTCACCGTTCAACATTCAACCGCGATCGGATACTGAGTCCAACAAGGAATGCTCGCTCTCATCCTCTCCACCTACGCATGATCGGCCCCCTTCGCATGGAATTGCGTGGATTTGTGGCCTCTCAAGTCGCCGCTCGCTTCTTTGGCATCTCCGATTGAGTACAATGGCTACTTTATGGCTATCGGAGTCGCCCAGTATCTTGCCCACTGGGCGCGGGATTCCGGCCAAGGCGGTCTCGGCCTTCTCGGTTAACGTTTTATTGACACAGTACTATCTCGAACATTTTTCACGCAAACAATGTCAGGTTGAATTCCAATCCCATCGTTAATCGCACCAAGTTAGTCCGATATTATATCCTATTGTGTGTCCCTAATCTTGTTTGGTAGTCATATTTTCACCTTCCCACTCCCCGCTGATGCCCAGACACTCAACACCGTCAGTTTCAACCTGCTCAAGGTGAGTATTCACTCACGGTCGACGAATACTTACAGATTCGAGTCACTCTCTACTTCAGGCGCATTCTGTATGTCGTCGTTCCAACCGAGCTGCCAAGTTGCGTCAGGATTGAGATATCCGCAGCCTTCAACCCAACCACTGTTCAAGGACCCTCCCAACTTTCTCTGAATTAATGATCCATAAGGCATACAAAGCTATGTATTCGAGACACAATACCTCTTTGGTACGTGGACAATGGTTCCTCGACCCGTCTTTGTGGTACTGAACCTTGCTTGCTTTATTTCGCTGCAGTAGTACCCCGGGATATCACGGATACTTATATGCGCTTTAAATCGACGCCACGCGCTCGAGTATCGCCTCATCCTATGTAGATATATACCCTCCTTAAACATTGGAATTGCTATTGAAGCTCCCCCCGACGCGTTATTCGTCCAGCGGCTCAACCCGGGGGGGTTGATGCAAACTTCCCACGGTTGAAATCTCGGGTAAGTTGTTGTGTTATCCCTCCTCATTTGAATCCTGCTCA